AATGGTTACCATTGGGACAATTAACTATACTTATAGACACAATGACATGAATTATATGGATTGATTGTTATTGATAACCGTCTGAAGAAGTAATATGTTCAAAAAAATTCATAATAAAAACACATGGACGACGTCAGAGGTGAGCTCTTTTTTTCATGTTAACGTCTTGAAAATGATACGTATTTCAGAACAAGCGGTACTAGTTATAGAATATGTGAACATAATTTGTGTAATATTATTTTAGCTGTGAATGGGATGTGAAAAGTTTTAGAATATAATGGTTAGTAAGGATTGGAGTTTGCATGTTCACCCTGTGTTGGTGTGGGTTTTCTCCGGGTGCTCCGGTTTCCCCCACAGTCCAAAGACATGCGCTATAGGTGAACTGGGTAAACTAAATTGGCCGTTATAAATGTGCAGGCCTGGTGAAAGGAGTGGTTCTATTTAATTATGAGGTTTAAACACTACCGTTTAATGACATCAGGGTCACGAAACACCACATTTTTTGAGCTGTTGACAGTCGTATATGTGTCCCACACTGCTAAAAACACTATTAGGACACATATATTTCACTAAAAAGTGAAAATTGGTTGTTTTTGTGTTATTTCAAGCAAATTCGTACTTCCGGTTTGAAATTAATTTTTGAAGCTGCGTCACCGCCATGAGATCTTAGCATGTTTTCCAGCATGTAAACTGGACGTCTGTACCTGGGACTTCCTTACTTCCAGGGCCAGATGGAATTTGCGGACGTTTTTTGCTATTTCTGCGGAGAATTTTGGTAAAAATCTGCAGATTTCTGCGGAATTATTTTGGGAGTATCATAACTAAAACCTTAATATGTGAAATATAAAGTAATATCTTTTTAACTTCTATTTAATGTTTAAATTGCAAATCTAGATCCACTTACCATTTATTTGGTAAACAAAGCAAGAGTGTCATATAAGATATCTACTAAAAGACAAAATATTACCTAACAAACTGCATGGACATAAATCAGATGAACATTTTCATTTTAGTCAATAATATTACTGTAATTAATAAAAAAAATAAATTTAGATTTAGGGCGAGGCAGTGGCGCAGTAGGTAGTGCTGTCGCCTCACAGCAAGAAGATCGCTGGTTCGAACCTCGGCTCAGTTGGCGTTTCTGTGTGGAGGTCCCTGCCTTTGCGTGGGTTTCCTCCGGGTGCTCCGGTTTCCCCCACAGTCCAAAGACATGCGGTACAGGTGAATTGGGTAGGCTAAATTGTCCTTAGTGTATGAGTGTGTGTGTGTATGTGTGGATGTTTCCCAGAGATTGGTTGCGACTGGAAGGGCATCCGCTGCGTAAAAACTTGCTGGATAAGTTGGTGGTTCATTCCGCTGTGGCGACCCCGGATTAATAAAAGGACTTAGCCAACAAGAAAATGAATGAATGAATAAATTTAGATTTACACACATTTACTCAAGTAAATAAACAGAATTAATGATGGGCTAGAAATCTGCGGAATGCTGCGTGCGCAGATTCCTTGTAGGCCTACTTATTACGTCTCTGAGTGTGCTGCATTCATTCATGAGTAAGACTTGGTTCAAACCAATCAGCGCACTCTATTGTGTATGCGGTGCAACTTCATTAATATGCATGATAGCTTCCAAGACTGTTTTGAGAGTTGTGTAGCCTATTTTTACCAATTATAGTGTTCAGATGGCAGAGAGACGCCGTGTTGTGTTGCCAAGTGGGAGAACATAATTTGTTTGGAGATACAAATCGTCAGTGTTGTTTTTATAATGTGCTGCAGTGAAGGTTTTGTTTTAATTTTCCCTTTATGAGAGCACTGCTGGACTCACGTGTGGATTACAGTGCACGCGACGTGCCATAGAAATACATGTCTAAGGAACATTGTTTACCCGAGAGCTTTTCTCATGTGGAAATGGTGAAATCTGGAATTGCCGCTTGTCTCCTTTTAATAAAGACGCAGAACCAGTTGGTGTTGATTGTCCTGTCTCTACATATTTGGTAAGTGAGCGACTAGTGGTCCTTGTTTGTTTACTCAGAGGTGAAGTTAGTTCGTATCGTCAGCAGTACTCTTTCAGTGTTTAAAGACAGACCTTAGTCATATGATTTCTAAGTTAATAAAGTTTACCGTATGTTAATATCACTACAATATTATGGACTGAAAAATCTGCTGTAAATGCTGCTCTCCCGAGTGTAAACGTGCAAGCACCACAACCAAGGTTACCGTCATGGAGGATTTTTGCTGCATTTTGTGACAGGAATAACACACACGGCTTTCTGACGCTACCTACAGAGTGCACCTAAGTTTCAGAGAGGGGTTTTTTTCTCTTATTCGTCATGCTGTAACAAACATTGCATGAAACATACACGCTTCCAGCAATTCCTCATTTGTCATGAGGGGCATGAATGAAATTCCTGAATGAAAGAGCCAAACTGCAGTTAAAGTCCACTATTTAATAATTTGGCAAATAATTTGATTACTGATAAACATAGTCACTGTCTTTCTACTCTGCGTTTGTGTGTTTGTTTTGCCTGTGTGAAAATCAGCACGTGCCCAAACCGACACTCCCATTTTTGTGCAAATTTTTACGGACCATGCCTTTTTCTCTCCTCCGACACTCCCCTAAACAGAGCTGGACACGCCCACTTTCCTGACTTTTTCCAAAGTAGAGGTGTAAAAAACCCTGCCGAAACAGAAGGGTTTCATGGCCCTTTAAGCACTTTTTTGTTTAATTAGCTTGTCGAATGGTCATCAGAACCAAACTTTTTGATGTACCAAAACATTTCCTTACAAATTTGTAAAAAAAAAAAAAACTAACAAACAAAAAAAAAACATAACAAAAACAATTGTGTTAGCGAGATTTATTTAATAAAAAACTGTAACTTATTGTTATTTATTAACCAAATAACATTCTGGCCACTACATTCAATTTTACTCAGTTTGAATAAACAAATAAATAAAGCTTAACATTTTTTCTACATTTTTCTTTAGTAAAAAAGTTCAATTGAAAATTTATGGATAGCAATAGTCTGATTATTATTAAAATTAACCCTAACTTTAATGTGGGCCACCTTTGATGCTTTACACCTTTTTATTGATAATTTTTTGTTTCACGAATAAGGTCCAAGATTTGGAATAAAAGTTACTTGTAAAATGTTTTCTGTATTTAACAACAGTACAGTCAGTCAGTAGCGTAAGATGACTTACCTTTCTTCAGATTGTGGCACAGCTAGATGTTGGACTCATGAAAAACAATTGATCAAAACTGATAAGCTGAAGTGACGACAGCCAGCAGAGGATTCTGTTTGGTCTTAAAGCCTTTTTCGATGGGTTATTTTCAATATTTGTGATGGAAAAGCAGTCAAAATATGTCAAATGAGCTCATGTATGGGACAAATTCTGCACCTTTGTCAGTGGAGGGTGGGTCTTTCGAACCACCCAAACCCCCCCCGGCTATGGGCCTGATGTGTGTGTGAATGAGTGTGTATGGATGTTTCCCAGTATTGGGTTGCAGCTGAAAGGGCATTTGTTGTGTAAAACATATGCTGGATAAGTTGGTGGTTCATACCGCTGTGGCGACCGCTGATAAAGGCACTAAGCAGAAGGAAAATAAATGAATGAATAAAACATATAAGATAATTCTGCATAATTGAACCAAATATACTGAGGTTTGTCTGGGTTACGGCTGGAAGGACATCCACTGCGTATAACATATGGCAGAATAGTTGGTGGTTCATTCCGCTGTGGTGACCCCTGATAAAAAAAGGGACTTAGCCCAAGAAAAATAAATTAATTAATACTGTGGTTTAAGTCTTAAAGTGCTCTGAAATTATTTATAATTTATATTAAAAAAACATTATTTATTTATTCCAATTAATACTCAAAAAAAAAACAAAAAAAAAAAACATCGATTGTCAGATATGGAGGAAGCAAATCTTAGGAGAAACCTGTCGCAGTCTAGGGGCCAATACTTCTGACCGACCAAAAAAAAAAAAAACAGAACAAAATCAGACATCCATAGCAAAGATAAAAACAAACAGAAACACAGGACATAAAATGCTATGAAAAACTGTCAAAAACATAAAAAACTAAATCAGACACAGGTGTGCAACATAAGCAGTAACCATAGCGACAATGACAATAAAAAAGCAAGGCAGCTATAATCACTGGAACTAAATGCTATTATTATATGGTAAAAAAACATCAAAATTAGAGTCCTCGAAGAGTATGATGTGTTTAATAAATTAAAAACAAGACATCTTTGTTGTTTTCACATACAGTAAATTAGCTGCAGTCACAAAGTTTAAGAATAAACATCACATAATATCATTGTCTAACATCAACCAGGAGGTTACCTTTACTTTAGCAGAGCGACGTCAGCATAAATAACAAACAAATCAATAGATCAGCTAATATTAGATATTATATTTAGTGTTTGTCTGCCATCCTTATACAGACATTTGAACCATAATATATTTAAACTATATCTAAGTCATTTATTTTTTCACTTTTTGGTGTTTTGTTTACACAATAAAAAAGTTTAAGTGGCTTACACTGAAAAAAAATTATTAAAATAAAAAAAAAGATTTAAGTTAAGTGGTTGTAAACAATTTATTTGGGGCACATTTAAACAAAAAAGTTAGGTTGACCGTTTATAAATAAAATTTGATTGTTTAAATTCACCACATATAAATCTTTTTCCAGTGTAGATTGACCTAAATGTTTTTCTACTCCGTTGTAGCTGTTTATTGATAAAATCATTCAAATAAACTAGCATATTATTAAAATAATACACAACTTTATCTAAAAAAACAAGTAATGCACAAAAGGAATTCATTTAAAATACTGTAAAAAATCATTAAAAAGCACATTTCCTGGATGATAACAAAAGGATACCATCCTGTCATTAAGACATGCGCTGTCACTTTAGGAATTTTACGTAACTTCAGCGTAAACCTGCCTACATCCGTCGTGACGCTTGGCGTAGCTCAAAGCGCCTGCCGTCGCTCTTTACGCAAATGGCGTTTGTGAATAGCCGGAGCGTAGCGTGTAGGTTCGTGTGGCTGGTTCGCTCCTGTTTCACTGGGCCACACGGGGAAGGTAAATAAAGACAGGACGGTCACCAGCGCAGCATTTTTAGCCGTCAGACCCCGACAACTAGAGGACCGTCCACCGCTGCCGTGTCTTTAGGGCCTGCTTTCCTCGGTCGGGTTTGGTCTTTGTTTTAACCGCATTACTCACGGGATAAAAGGCGAAAGAGAAGAAAAAGAGGTGACAACGTCGCCTGTGCAGGTGAGTGGAGTTTATTTAGCTGGTAAGCTAACTGTCTGCAGTTGAGCTGTCAGCTTTATCCTTAACCATTCAATACTAACGTTACGCAAACACGACTGCGAATAGTTGTGGATAACGTTGACTGCCGTTAGAGGAGACTCATCACACTCACTAATGTTTCTGTGCTGAAGCAAAACTGACAGCAGATCAGTGCAAAAGTGTCTAGTCTGACTGTATCCACTGTATGTTATCAATGACCCGATGACCAGTTCAACCGGTGCCCGTTCATAACCCAAACTCTCTTGCTAGATTCACTAATCAAATTTGTCCATCAATTCTGGCCAGCAGGTTGTTTTGGGATTATTGCATAAGGACAGTATGTTGGTCGTTCACATGCAATCTTGGTTAATTGTTAATAGCTGTTTTCAGGAACAATGAAATCTGTGTAATCCTTCTAGTCTGGATAAGCTGATGGAGCATATGTTTATGCCAGTGGAAAGGTGGCTCAGTCCGCTGGATTTATCTCAAGCTGATGATTCATTGTGTCTGTTTTATTTCATGCCAGGTAAGGTGACATAGGACTTAAAGGCAGATATTCATACAAACAAATCACCTGCTGAGATTAAACTGTTTACAGTAACTGTTATGAATTGTTATAGATTTTCTGCAACCTTTGGGTTACAGGTTATTAGTGGTTTTCATCTGTGGAGGACCAGGACCCATAGATGCACTCTGCATTTCTCTAGAACAGCCTGTAAAAATAATGTAAAATTGTTTATAAAGTGTTTGTTATACTTAATAACACAATAAAAAAAACTTTACCGCAATATATAGTACCTCTTGTGTGGTATTAGTATTCTGTATAATCTGTTTGTCTTAAGGGTAAGAAGGGATACACCTTCACTAAACCTCCAAAACGAAACAACTAATTTATTTTCGGTCTGCACATCTGTTTTGCATGAAGAAGCAACCTCATGATCCATCACAAACTCTAAATATCTCGGTTTTCCATCGCCAGTGTTTTATTTAAAAGACTATTTAAATCATTGTATAATATTCAAGTAAAGGTTTATATTTTCTAAGGTTTGTGTGTGTGTGTGTGTGTGTGTGTGTGTGTGTGTGTCTGTCTGTCTGTGTCTGTGTCTGTGTGTGTGTGTGTGTGTTATAGCTAGCTGATCAAATTTGACCCCATAATCCTTACTTTGTATCCTATAGTGTAACAAAAATAATAGAAAATGGTTACTTTTTCAAATGTTGGGATCATTTTATATATATATATAATGATCCCAACATTTGATCCCAACATATATATAAACATTAAAAAAACTTTTTTTTTATTTTTTTCTTGTGTTAAATTGGTCACGGGTCTTTTTTTACCTCATGTCAACACAAAGCCATTGTTTTACATTAGGCACTGTAATGTGGTTATCCTTCAGGCTAGAAAACTGTCATTCACTTAGTAAATTTGTAAAAGGAGAAAAAATATTGAGCTGTTAAAATAATTATTTATTAATGTTAATAAATTGGGATTTGGACTTTAGACATAAAATAGTCTGCTTAATACTCCTTGGTTATCATCTTTTCTAAACACCTTGTTTAACTCCAGGCCAAAGGATGATTTACACTGCAACTTGAGCAACACGTTATTTTACACTGATAGTGAAGTCACATAGTGATGCAAATGCAAGAGTTGCAGTAAATATAGGAGACAGTTTCATGAAAAGTCCACTCAGGATAGAGAGAGTTGCAGTCAGCAGTATATAATATGAGGATGGTAGAGCATTTATTTAAACTGGTTGTATGCTGTGTTTTCATAATAAAATGAAGAAGAACATTGACCCAGTTTAAAGATTTAGGCTGCTCCTTCATATTCAGGACTATTTGTTAACCCTGGGTAAATTAAGAGCAGTGTGAAACATGAAAATATTCCAGAATGCCATTATCCCAATGGTTTGGGATTGGTAAAAAGATTTAAAAAGGTCCCAGACTGTTTTAAACTTTTAATGTCACATTTTTAACAACTTCCATACCACTCAGTGATGATGTTTCATTTACTTGTAGATATCTTAAGGTGCTAGTTTGATCCAGCCTGAGGGTGTGTTACCATGGCGATGCGGGAGTTAGTGGAGGCGGAATGTGGGGGAGCCAATCCCCTCATGAAACTGACTGGTCACATGACCCAAGAGGGCGGGGCTTGGAGACATCGATCAACGCCCACTGTAAGTTACAAAACCTTATTTTTGTAATCATGACTACATGTTAAGGGCTGAGACCAAACGATGTGCTGATATATTTGGTGACATTGGTTATGTAAATGGATCAGAGATGAAAAGGTGTTTTCAAGCATCAAAAGCTTAAGCTCATTCATTGGAATGAGAATCATTTTAGCCTGATTTATGCAAGATAGTAGTTTATATAACAAAATAAGCTTGTCAGGCATATTTAAGCATCACAGTGCAGCTCCAAAATGTTAGTCAGTTCTCCTTTTAAGTCTTTATGCTTTGCCACTATACCTATTTGACAGCAGTTTTGAATCATTTTAAAGAACATTAAGTATGATCACTCTTATTCTTTTATATGTATTTTTTAAAGTACAGGTGTAAATTAGTTTTTTTATTTTGCTTAAATATATCTGTTTTGTTGATTGATGGAATATTATTTCACTTAGTATGACATTTTATTTTTGTTAAAGTTATATGAAATAGTGAAGTAAACACTTAGGGAAAATAGAATCACCAACATTTCTTTAACACAAAATATTGTATGAAGTCAATCCATTTGTAAATTAAAGAAATGATTACCATTTTGAAAACAGGCATAATCAGGTTGTACATCTGAGATGTAGAATCAGCTACTCAAGGCGTACACACTCATATTTATTGAAAGGGGAAAACCTGTGACTTGTGTAAGAATATATGGTAACACTTTATAATAACTACACACTATGAATCATCTATTAAGCATTAGCAAATAGTTAATTCTTTATATGTTAAGTATTAACTCTAAATAGACGTTAGTAAGCAGTTTATAAATTCAACTACAAATGCTGTATTCTTGACTTATAAGCGCATTTAAAATGTGCTCAATGATTGTGTTTTCATACTTAATTACATTTTAATTGTTCATTCATTCATTTATTCATTTTCTCTTCGGCTTAGTCCCTTTATTAATCCGGGGTCGCCACAGCGGAATGAACCGCCAACTTATCCAGCAGGTTTTTACGCAGCAGATACCCTTTCAGGGAAACATCCACACACAATCATTAACACACACTAATACACTATGGACAAATTAGCCTACCCAATTCACCTGTACCGCATGTCTTTGGACTGTGGGGGAAACCGGAGCACCCGGAGGAAACCCATGCGAACGCAGGGAGAACATGCAAACTCCACACAGAAACGCCAACTGACCCGAACCAGCGACCCAGTGGCCTTCTTGCTGTGAGACACCAACACTACATACTGTGCCACTGCGTCGCCCATTTTAATAATTTATTACTAAATTTAGTATTGCATTATTTACAAATTGTGATGCAATTTGATATATGTATATATATATATATATATATATATATATTTGAAATAAATGCAAAACCGAGAAAACCGCAATTCACAAGCACGTATTGAACCGTGGAGGTCGTACCGTAAGGTTCAATATTTTATTGAGAACTGTGACATGCCTAATATATATATATATATATATATATATATATATATATATATACATACAGTTGAAGTCAGAATTATTAGACCCCCTGAATATTTAGACCGCATGTTTATTTTTTTCCCATTTTCTGTTTGACGGAGGGCAGATTTTTGCAACACATTTTTAAGCATAATAGTTTTAATAACTCATCTCTAATAACTGATTTATTTTATCTTTGCCATGATGACAGTAAATAATATTTTACTGGATATTTTTCAAGACACTTCTATTTAAAAAATGATTCATAGTGTGTAGTTATTATAAAGTGTTACTGGAAATATTTTAAGGGCAATGTTTAAAAAGTTATTGTTGTATATTTAGTATAGGTCTTGTCATGAATATAGCCAATGTTGCTGATATGGCAATGAAACATAAATAAAGCATCTTTGACACAAATATATTAAAATGCAGGGAATTCATAAAAAGAGAGACTTAATTTCTGAGAATTTCTCAAAAATCTCAAATCCATTAACCAAAAGTTTGGACTTACATTTGTTTTGTTATTTTTACATATACATTTTATTCGCATTCAACAACATTCTCTCAAATGCAAGGCCTGTAGACCTGCTGTTTGAATAAACCTTTATAAATAGTATTGCATTTTTTTTGTATTGTTTATTAATAGTAGTAGTTGCGATTATTATTTATTAGAAAGTGAATTAAAGAATTAATCAACCAATGAGAAAATATTCCAAATATGCATTCAAAAATAGCCACTTGATTAATCTAATCCTTTTTCAGTGGATTAATTGTTAAAGTAATTGTTAATTGCAATCTTGAAAATATTATTGATTATGATTTTTCCCTTTTTCCCCATAGATTCCTCCTACTCCCATTGAAATAGCCACTGAAGAAGAGGTTTGTATAATCTGTTTTAAATGACCTGATCAGTTTGTATAAGCTCATATAGTCTGTGATCATGTTCTTACAACCTGTCCTGTTGTTTTCTTTTTTGAATGCAGCTGGTCAGTGAGTTTCTGCAGGGTCCACAACGGCCTCCTCATAGTTTTGATATGGGTCAACTGCTGGAGGAGATGCAACAGATTGATCAGCAGAACTACAGACAGGCTCCACAGAGAGGTATCAGCATAAACACACATCCACATCAAGTTCAACACTTGTTGATGTCGCTATAACTGTATGTTTTCACTTCTCAGCTCCCGATGTGGCAGCTCTGGCTCTGTCTGGCGACTGGGCATCAGAGTTTCTGTCTACTGCTGATGCCGCCTCTTCTTCTGGACAGGCAGCTCTTGATCCAGCCGATGCCGACTGGACCAGAGAATTTATCAATGAAGTGGCAGGTCAATATGAATTTAAAATGTCTGAAAATGTTCATAACACCTCTGATTTGAAAATCAGAAACGCAGTATGGTACTGTTCAATTTGTGGGAGCTTGGCTCGCTTTGGCTTGGTTTGCATTTCCTTGTCAGTTTAGTAGCATTTAAAGTGGATGAGATTGCTATTGTTGCGCCACCTTTACTGCCGTGATCCTCATCATTTTCATTCTGCAGCATCCCAGTTCATGCTGCATCTACTCCTTTGCTGCTGAGAGGAATGTCAGGACCTCTTTTCTGACCACTAGAACTATTCGGTATATAGAGTTGAGGTCAGAATTATTAGCTCTCCTGTTAAATTTAAATTATTTTATCTTTTTGTTTTACAAATTTCTGTTTAACAGAGAGAAGATTTTTTTAATACATTTCTAAACATAATAGTTTTAATAGCTAAAGTCTAATAACTGATTTACTTTGTGTTTGCCATGATGACAGTAAATAATATTTTCCTAGATATTTTTCAAGATAATAGTATTCAGATTAAAGTACTATTTAAAGGCTTAACTAGGTAATTAGGTTGGGCAAGTCATTGTAATTTGATGGTTTGCTCTTTAGACAATTTAAAAAATATTGCCTAAGTGGGTTAATAAGATTGTAACGTAATAAATTATAACATAACTTAAAATTAAAACTGCTTTTAGTTTAGCTGAAATAAAACAAATAAGTATAAATATTTTAGCAAATACTGTGAAAAATGCTTTGCTCTCACATAATTTAGGAAATATTTAAAAACAAAGACAAATTCACAGGTGGGCGAATAATATTGACATCAACCTTATATAGTTATTGTTGAATAAACTGTCAACTGTAATAGATTTGATTTAGTCCATTTACACCACTACATATAAAGAAGTGGGTGTGGCTAACTCAAGTGCTGTGTATGTGAACAAGATGCTGCTTTTGAAAACTGACTGGAGCGCTTGTAGTAAGATCAGGTCAACTATCTGAGGTGAACTTTTATCTGTGCTTTAGATGAACTGTTTTGCATTACTGACTTGAAACTGAGAATGTGAGTACTGAATAACTGTACTTAATGCAACTGAACTGTGTGGTCAATATCCCTCAGTAAGATCACTGTAACTTGTGTTGTGCTACTGCCTCTGCCAACTAACATTCTTCCCTAGGTCGTAATGCCCACACGGATACTGATTCACCTAATTATCTAAGAAAATGAAAGCAAAATACTGAGTAGCTAGTTATGTCATAAAATACTTGGTTTTCTTTGAAATATCGGTCAGAAAATGTGAAGAAAAATTGATTTATTGACTGACACCAACCATACAGAGCGTAATTCAATATCTGCTTTGTTAATTATTTTGTTAATTCAGCCTCCCTCTGGGTCTTAGTCCCTGACTTATCAAAAATGTATTTAGGGTCTTCTGTGTTACACTCCTACAAATCAAAGAACAAAATGTTAATCTTATCTAGTATCTATTGGGTTCATAAAATCACAGGTCGGATTCTTTTATTTTATTGTGAAAAACTAACAATTATGGGAAATACAAATCTCAAAATTGACTAAATTAACATCTTTTTATTATGGGGGTATTAAAAAATGGTTTAGACTTGCGGAGCAACAATAAAACATTGGTTGCTGCTGACTATATAAATATATCAGATTGGAGCTCTTTATCATGAATAAATGTGGATTAATGCTCAAAATCAGATGACGTTATGTTTACTCTCTATTTGTTGCAGCCACTATGAATCACTATAAATGAACACATATACATCATATTTTAGTTTCAAATTTGCTTTTCAAATCAGAAGAATGAATTTGCTTAGAAAAATGCAAAAACATTTTTATCCCTAAACATCTCAGAAATGTGTTTTTAGGATTTCATTATCACTTAATATGTGCTGTTACAGCCCAGAAATATTCTTTTAAAGATGCTATTAGATTTCATAATGTCATTAGATTCCATTGGATATCAGGTTGGTTTGCGCTGACTAAATCTTTGCTCTTCTATGCCCAGCCAGTCCTTCATCCTCCAAAGCTTTACCTTTTTTTTCCATTACTCACTTCCCCTTTCTCCTGTGTCATAGATCCGGGCCGCTGGGCAGAGGAGTACCTGGAGCAGTCAGAGGAGAAGCTATGGCTGGGAGATTTGGGAGAAAGAGAACAGGACAAAGAATGGTATTTATGCATCTAAGAGGGAATAATATTAACAAACATCACGTATGATTCATTTATTAATGCTAACAGGGAGTCTTAAAATGCCTTAAATTTCAAAAGCAAAATTTTAGGCCTTAAAAAGTCTTAATATCTCTGAAATATTGTGTTGTAGGGCTGTGCAATTAATTGAAAATCCGATTTCGATTATGACTTCTAACGATTATGAAAAACCATTAATCGAGATAAACGATTATTCCATTATTTACCGCCCCCTGTCCAGTTGTCCCCACTTGTTGCTGTTAAAAGCACGAAAGACCTCATGCTTATGTGTGTGCGGCGTGCAGACAGTCAGAAGCATGCGGTCTGCACTTGGTCTCACTCAGACATTGTGACGAGCAGAGAGCACACACATCTAAAGTCATTAACGCGAGCGCTTTAATGTTCAAATAGGTGTCAAAACATGGTGTTTAATGATTATTCATATTAGCCCTCATTTTGTAATAAACAAACGAGTTTAGAATCAAAAGACACGTGAAAGCGAAACCATTAAAGTGACAGAGCACAGCTGCCGCCTGTTTTATCATGATTGATAAAAAAACGAGAAAATCCCTCTTTGCTCTTGACTGAAGACTTTTGTAGCTAAAGTATTTTTCTTACGGTGAAGATGCTAAAAGCACAGTTTGTTTCATATTTTTATTCTATTGTATTTATTTTTCTTTCCTTTGCAGGGAGGAAAATAATATATGCAGTTGAAGTCAGAATTATTAGCCCTTCTGAATATTAGCAACCTTTTCCCCCCAATTTCTGTTTAATGAAAAGAAGATTTCTGAACATAATAGTTTTAATCATTCATTTCTAATAACCGATTAATTTTATCTTTGCTATGATGACAGCTCATAATATTTTAGTAGATATTTTTTTTAAATACAAACATTCAAATTCAAAGTGTGATTCAAAAGCTTAATTAGGGTAATTAGTCAAGTCATTATATAACAGTAGTTTCTTCTGCAGATAATCAAAAATATATATATTGCCTAAATGGGCTAATAATATTGACCTTAAAACAGGTTTCAAAATATTTAAATTTGCTTTTATTCTAGTCAAACAAAACAAATAAGCCTTTCTCCTGAAGAAAAATATTAGAGGAAATACTGTTAAAATTCCTTGCTCTGTTAAACATTGTTTGGAAAATATTTATAAAAAAAAAAATTCTCAGGAGCGCTAATAATTTTGACTTCAACTAATAATCGTTTGGAATAATCGTGATTACAATTATGACCAAAATAATCGTGATTATGATTTTTCCCAAAATCGAGGAGCCCTATTGTGTTGTAGGTCTTAAATCATTTTAAACAGGTCTTGATTTACCTATGGCCTGGTAAAGCTACCCTATCGGGCTGACACCCAACACTTTTATATTTAGTTTTTTTATTGCAAAGAAATGCAGTTCAAAACAGCTGTAATACATATTTACAGGAAATTCTCCAAATTAAACTATTCTCTAATCAGGGAAAGAAAACTAAAGCAACACATCTCTTTACATGACTACAAAAAAATGCTTGTTGTTCAGCTCGTATAAGTCAAAAACTTAATTCATAATAGCCTTAAGAGTCTTAAAAAATCTGAAATTTCACTTGAAGAAACTTGCAAAAACCCTGGCTTGCTAAATAAAAGACATTGTACTGACTCCAAACGTTTAAACGGTAGTGTACATGCATTATACAGCAACACTTTTATAATAATACTACTTTGATAATATTGGAAAATGTGTTAGCTCACATTTATTACAATGTTTATTTATTTCAAAATTTTAAATGTTTATTTTTTTATGTTGCATTGACTAGTGTTAGCAAATAGTAGATCAACAGGACTAGATATTAACAGTGTTTTGACATCCTAAATTAAGAAAGTTATAAAGATCTTAATTTGACATAGTTTGGAAAGTGTACACTGCCTTACACAAGTTTTGTCATGGATCCCAGTTGTAAGAACAGCAAATAATAACTTGACTTCTAGTTGATCATTTGGAAAAGTGACAAAAGTTAGATTTTCCTGATGAATGATCTGTTGAACTTCATCCCAATCATCACGAATACTGCGGAAGACGTATTGTAACCCACATGAACCTTAGATCTTCATAGAAATTAGTCAAGTTTGGTGAAGGAAAAATCATGGTTTGGGGTTCCATTCAGTATGGGGGCATCCAAGAGATTTGCAGAGTGGATGTCAACATCAGCAGCCTGAGGTACTGTATCAAGACATTTGTGCTGCCCATTACGATACAAACCACAGGAGAGGGCAAATTCTTCAGCAGGATTGCACTCCTTCTCATACTTCAGCCTCCACATCAAAGTTCCTGAAAGCAAATAAGGTCAAGGTGCTCCAGGATTGGCCAGCCTAGTCATCAGATATGAATATTATTAAGGCATTGAAGTTGAATCCAAAGAATCTTGATAAACTCTGGGAGTCCTGCGAGAACGCTTTCTTTGCCATTCTAGATGACTTTATGAATAAGTTATGTGTATTGCAGAGATGTATGGACGCAGTCAACCAAGCTCATGGGGGTCATACACAATATACATTATTTTTCCAAAGCACTGTGACTTTAAATTCTATACTGTACATTATGTCTGTTAAGTGACAAGACTTTTGTCTAAGCAAAGTCAGACTTTGCTGTCCTAATTAAATAATTCAAAATCAAGGCTTGATTATTTTTTATTTTGCAAAAAAAGAGTAATCTAGAGGCCTTTTCCTTTCATATGAGCCACTTTTGATACCAAATGATCAAGTAGAAGTCAAGTTATTATTTGGTGTTCCTTAAACTTGAATAGGTGACAACATTTGTCAGGTAGTGTAGTTATATTAAAGGTATTTTGGAAATTGACAGCCGTTATGTCCTTGCATTAAAATATTTGAAAGAATTAAGAATGCCTTTTTTCACCCTATCAGGGCTCAAGAATACCAGTCAGGTGAAGAACTACGTCAAACCGCAAATGAACTTGTTGCCAAAGTGGACGATCCTAAACTACAGAACACAGAGGTGAGAGTCAGCTCAGTGTATGATCCTTCTGCTTTCTGTGTTGATCTTTGAGCTCAGCATGAAACACTTTAGTCAACAAGCAAAGATACATCAAGCAGACATTCTGAACCACCTCAAACATAAAAGGGTCGGTTTCTGAATAAATGTTTTGGTAAGAAATTGATCAGCCCTTTCTTTATTTTGCACCATGTTGCTGTGTTACTTGGCAACAACAAAAACCCAAAGGCTCGGATAATGAGCTACAGAATTTTTGGCAGAGGATTTATTTATTTTGATAATTATTCATAAATGTTACTGTTTGTTGAACATTCAGGTTTTTACTATAGAGCTGTCACACATTTTATAATTGAAGTTAGCCATTTAAAGAGAAAGTTCACCCCAAAATGACAATTCATTAATGATTTACTCATCCTGGTGTTGTGCTAATACTCTATGCCCTATTTTGGACCACATTCAGCAATGGTAATAAACAACTGCCAGCATTAAGGCTCGTTTTTAAGACATCAAAATATAATAATTTCTAATGTTGTAAATTATTATTACTAGTTAGCTCCAGATTTATTATTATTATTTTTTTTTTAACCTTTTTTATGTATCTATCTGCAAGGTTCTTACGGTTGCTGGAAGTCCTTGAAAATGCTTATATTTTAGTCTAGTGTTTACAAGCTTTGAAAAGAGCTTAGTTTTTGGATAAAATGCTTGAAACCGATTGAAAATGTCATTGTGTTTCTTTTATAATAATTTATCTAACTAACAAGGTAATAATAATGAACTATTTAAATAAACTCTTAGCTTTTGCGTAAAATGAAAACTCTGCAGTGTGTGCACGTGCCTGTAGCATGATCTGTCTTTTTTAAATTTAAAATAAATTTAAGTTAAAACATTATATATTTAAGATGCGAGCAATTAATATTTACCAGTGTAAATGACAGTAATTCAATGTTGGGTTTGGGGTAAACATGCCTTCATTTTTTTATAATACAATATTGTACTACAGAATAAAATAATTTCAATTTGATATAATGTGATGAAGTATTTATATATAATTATGTAATCTGCCACACTTGTAAAGTACTGGAAAAGTTTTTTTTGATTTTTAGATTTTTTAGATTTAGAGACAAAAAAATATGTGGAACAGATATTGGGGAAGGGTCGGCAAAGGACCTCAAGCCGGGAATCGAACTCGGGTCACCGTGAACACCTCGGTGCCATGTGTCGATGCGCTAACCACAAGGCCATTGGCGCCAACAAAAGTGCTTAAATTTGCCTTTGCACTTATATCTATCCTACTTTTTCCTCGTGTATGTGTTTGTTTTCTCCTATACAGCTTGTAATGGTGGTCAAACAAAAAATAAATAAATAAATAAATAACTTCTCAGGTTAGATTCGAACCCGGGTCTCACACACACTCACACATGTACACACTTTTTTTTTGTGAATTGTTGGGACATTACATAGGTTTCTAACCCTAACCAAACTGTACACTGTACACCTAATCCCACTTTACCCCTAAACCCAACCCTCCCAGGAAACTAGTTTTATTTTCTGGAAAAAAAAATAAATAATAATAATTCTGTGTGTTTCACAAGCTTTTTGAAAATGTGGACATCAGCAATGTTCTCATATTTCACCACCTTCTTGTAATACCTGTGTCATTATACAGATTTGTGTCCTGATATGTCACAAAAACACGTACACACACACACACACACACACACACACACACATACACACAAACACTCAAACTTAATGTACTGAATAAAATGAATTCCTCACAATTTAAAACCAACACAATCCAATAGAAAAGGCTTCTTAGTTAAAGTCTCTTTTGTCTAATGTTTTTTATACAGAAAAATCACTTATTCGTATGGCCTTACCCTACCCTTACACCCAACCTTCGCAGGAAACCTGTGGCAAATTTTAAATATCAAAAGACCCTGTTAGTTGGTTAATTTTTTTAATATTTTGGATTACATTGAGGTGCTTCATGTCTTCATAAACCACCTCAATATTGTAATGCATTATACAAATGGTTATCATTGTCATTATACAAATTTCTATCTTTTTAAACCACCAAAACAAGTACACACACATTCACTCACTAACATGGCATATTAATTAACAAAATAATTATGAATGTTGAATGTCGGCAGTTGGTTTAGGTTATATTGTTGGTTATATAAGTAGTTTATGTAAATATTGCCATATCTAATTTAAAAAAGACAGTCATGTAATACAGGGTTTGGTTAAAATAAACAGAAATTTCATGCATGATTAATGCTCACATCACAATTTTATAAAACAGAACATGACTCGAGTTGAAATCCTTGTAGTTTCTTCATGTAGTAGAATATCTGGTGCTTCGAGCACAGCATACATATTTCCAGCACATATTTTCTGTCGCATAATTTCTATTTATCACGATTTCTCACAACTTGTGTGTTTTCCTGGGAGAGTCAGCATGAACTGACTCAAGACCAGTTTTATAAACATTCAAAACAGTGTCAAGATCTGGATTTTTGTTCAACAGTGGTTCAGTTTCACTTTGTTTTTCACCAAAAACCTCATAGAAACCTCATATACAAAAACCTATCATATAACTCCGGGAACATATTGAAACAACATGAGGGTGAGGAATTAATCACAGAATTTTAATTTTTGGGTGAACTAGTCTTCTAAATCAGAGAGTTGTAAAGACTTTAACCACATGTAAGAAGGTTTATTACTATATTTAAGATACTCTATTGCTGTATTAAATGTTGCATCACTGGGACTTTGTTAATATAATGCAATATGTTTTGCTGGACTGAAGTGGATCCATGTTGGAATGAATTTGCTGTGCTTTCACCAGTGCCACATCACACAAATGATCCATCACAAGAGTTTACTTAAGCTAAGCTAAAACTGATCTAATGTTAGCTCAAGGGAATCCTTTTTTGATATATTTAAAAAGGTTAGGTAACACATTAACCTATTTAGATGAGTTTCTTTTATCCTCTTGTGGTAGATTGTAAAGTGATGTGAAATTGTACACATTTTTTTGTTGCCATTTCTTTACTTAGTTCACATTTTTCTCTCTTTTCCATTTAACTCTGCTCATGCCTCGTCATGTGTTGTGCCTTTGGCCGTTACTCCTTTATCCTTGTGGTTTACTTATGTCTGACCTTAACTGTCTAGAAGAAACCACTGGTGTGTGTGTGTTTAATGCATCGCCAATGTGTTTGCTGTTAGCAGTAGATGTGTAATAGCTGTTGTTGTTGTCGTTATTGTGTAGTTCCTGCGGTTCATTAGGCAGATTGGCGAGGGCAGTGTGACTGTGGAGGACAGAGCAGGAAAAGAGCACACTGATAAAGCACAGGCCAAAGAGGCAGAGCATTGGGCCTCCAGCCTCAACCAGGTACGAGCCCTTCCCAGATCCTCCCATAGAGGACACACTGTGTGAAGGGTCACATTGCAGACCCCTGGCAGCCATCTTGGCTCTTTTCAAGCTACTTGGGCAACGTTAGGCATGGCTTTATTGCACACCAAAATCCTTGCCAATGTTCAGTGCTGGGTTTTAAATCATTCCCTGTGGGAAGCACAGTTTTTGATGGTTTCATTTGGTTTAGAGTGTGGAGGGTACATACAGTGGGGTTTGAGACCACATTTTAAATTTTTAGGATTCAAAGTCTGTTTAATAATGTATTTTTTTTTCAATTATATGAATTTCTTTTAAGGATTTCTTTTTAATAAAAAAACAATTACCGGTACACTCACCGGCCACTTTATTAGGTACACATGTCCAACTGCTTGTTAATGCAAATTTCTAATCAGCCACAGACATGGCAGCAAATCTGTTCATTTAGGCATGTAGACATGGTCAAGACAATCTGCTGCAGCTCAAACTGAGCATCAGAAAGGGGCACAAAGGTGATTTAAGTGACTTTGAACATCGCATGGTTGTTGATGCCAGGCGGGCTGGACTGAGTATTTCAGAAACTGCTGATCTTCTGGGATTTTCACACCCAACTCTAGGATTTACAATGAATAGTCCAAAAAAAGAGAAAATATCCAGTGAGTGGCAGTTCTGTATACACATGCCTCGTTAATGACAGAGGTCAGAGGAGAATGGCCAGACTGGTTCGAGATGATAGAAAGGCAACAAACAGTAACTCAAATAACCACTCGTTACAACTGAGGTATGCAGAAGAGCATCTCTTAATGCACAACTTTGAGGCAGATGGGCTACAGCAGCAGAAGACTACACCGGGTGCCACACCTGTCAGCTAAGAACAGGAAACTAAGGTTACGATTCACACAGGATCACCAAAATTGGAAAAATGTTACTGGTCTGATGAGACCCCTTTTTTGCTGCGTCATTTGGATGGTAGGGTGAGAATATGGCATCAACAACATGAAAGCGTGGATCCATCCTGACTTGTATCAACAGTTCAGGGTGGTGGTGTTAATGTAATGGTGTGGGGGATGTTTTCTTACCACACTTTAGTGCCAATTAAATATCGTGTCAACGCCACAGCCTACCTTAGTATTGTGTCTGACCATGTCCATCCCTTTATGACCACAGTGGACCCATCTTTTGATGGCTACTTCCAACAGGATAACGCACCATGTCATAAAGCGCAAATCATCTCAGACTGGTTTCTTGAACATGACAATGAGTTCATTGTACTGAAATGGCCACCACAGTCACCAGAGCTCAATCCAATAGAGCACCTTTGGGATGTGGTGGAACGAGAGATTTGCATCATGAACATGCAGCTGACAAATCTGTGGCAACTGTGTGATGCTTTTATGTCAATATAGACCAAAACTTCTGAGGAATATTTCCAGCCCCTTGCTGAATCTATGTCAAAAAGGATTAAGGCAGTTCTGAATGTAAAAGTGGATCCAACCCAGTACTGGTAGGGTGTACCTAATAAATTGTCAGAAGAGTGTATTTTATAAAGACAATAAAAATATTTGCAAAGTTTCAAAAGAGTTATATGTCCTACAAATTCTGTTTTTCAGTTAAATACTGTTGATTTTTTACAACATGATGCATCACCACTGTTTTTCAACACTGATTATATAAAAAAGGTCTTTAAAGAGATATTTCACCCAAAATCAATTTTTGTTCTTGTACAATTTTTCTTGTATCAATTTTTTTTCCTGCACAAAGTTTTTTAAAGGATGTTGAAAACATCCATAGTAGGAAACACAAATATATCTTATTTTGTTTTTAAATCGAGAAAAAAAATATTTATACTGGTTTGGAACAAATCAAAGTTGAGTAAATAATGGCAGAATTTTTATTTTTGGGTGAACTATCCCTTTAAGTGTTAAACCTCCATATTAGAATGATATTTGAAAGCTTTCGTGACACTGGAGTATTATTTTGCCATCACAGATTAAAATGAAAATTTAACATATTAAAATAGGAAAGAGTTGTTTAAAATTATAACTTATTTTAGCAATTATTATTATTATTATTATTATTATTATTATTATTATTATATTTGTAAAATGAAGCCTTGGTGATCATATAATACCTTTTTTCAAAACAAAACTTTAAAAAAAAAAATCCCCAGTGGTAGTGTAAGCCTTTTTATGATAATTATTATGCATATTTTATATATAAATATAATCTAAATGTAAAAAAAAAAAAACTTACACCATTTTTTAAATCTGCCCCCACTGTGATTCAAGCCAAGTCCTACACTTTGCTTGTAATCCTGCCTTATTTGTAAATCTTTTTTTTTATCCCAAAGTTCAAACAAGCACTTTAGTGTAACTCTGATATTTCCTTCTTCCTTTTGTCTTGAACGATATTTAATGGCATCCTGACCCCTACATCTAAACCTCTTAACCTCCATCCATACCTAAATCCTCCTGCTCTCTTTAAACAATCCCACACCAAATACACACTGTCCATGAATGCCCACCCTCCCCGCATTCTTTGTCCCGCACTGGCCTTCCAGTTTCTGGAATTAGGGGAAGTGACTGTGCAAGTGGAAACGCAAGAGGGCAAAAAGAAGAATGACAAAATGAAAGCTAAGCAGGCAGAGCAATGGGCAACTCTCGTCAGGCAGGTAGGACAACAGTGACCCATTAGTCCTGAAGTTTCCGTTTCGTCTGTGCTATTAGGCTTGTCATTTCTGTTATATTAACTAGCCACCGCTGACCAAACTATTGTGCCTCAAAGAAAGCTTTAATTTAACAGCCCTTTTAACATGATTATCGCTGCAAGACTCCAGGCCCGTAGAGCTGATAGTGCCCTGCTCACATTGCTTTTCATTTGTGCCCAGCTTTGACTTTCTGCAATAGAGAAAAGGTACACTGAGCAATGCTTTGCTATTGTAATGTAGAGAGGAAAGGCGAGACGGATAAATGAGGGTGAGATTTTGCTTTTCTTCCTCTGCTTGGTCTCCCGAGCCCTTTTTCCATTACATCTTTTCGCTCTCATTCATCACAGTGTGTTGTCTTTTTGTTTCCCCCCTCTCTCCTTTCAGCTGAGTAGTGTTTAAGCATTTGCAGGCTCTGTGGTTTGTTATGGAGGCTGTTTAATGGTCTGGCATGTCGCTGTGCTTGGTAGGTTTCGGCAGAATCGGCGGAGTCTTGGGTCGATGAATTCGCCACCTACGGGCCAGACTTCCAGCAGGCCAAAGCAGCGGTCGAGGTGAGCACACTTTAGGCTGTAAATACTTGAGGAATTGTATTTGATTGCTGTCATTATAGGGAAAACAAGATATTCTGAAGCATGTGGGAAACAAGCAGTTATTGGAAATTTAGGAACAAAAAAGACTGTGGAAATCAATGGCCGGTTTGTTATACACCTTCTTCAGAAAATCTTCCAGAGAGAGAGAGAGAGAGAGAACAATTGGAGGGTTGATGGCATTACTTTTATTTTTGAGTGAACTGTCGCTTTAAGTGTTATTTTGGGGTATTTGGGCTTTTTTGTGTAATAATTACACATTTCTGGAGTCTGAATTGTTACTTACAGTTTTATTTAAACTAAACTAAATACTAGTTGCATATGAGCAGTTTCAGTGTTATGAATGTGAGATCTGCAGTAAAATCTTAGTAGGGCTGAACAATATATTGATTGAGGATTGATATGGCAATGTATATCTGCGATAGTCACATTGCAGGATTATATTATTTATTAAAGAGTAAAAGATAGACATTAAACATTATTTTTGGTTAATATTTATACAATCATGGCCATGTTATTTTACACATGATTGTTCATTTTCTCTATTTTGACGATCCATGCGCAGAGTGCTGGGCGCAAATGCATTAAGAGCGTGTCAGAATCCACTTTTGCTAATATAAAGACGAAAAAATCCGATTTGCACCATGGCGCATGGTCTAAAAGGGTTGAGCTTATTTTCTTAATGAGTTATAGGTGTGTTTTGAGAATAAACCAATCAGAGTCTCATCTCCCATTCCCTTTAAAAGTCAGTTGCGTCGCGCCATCGCAAAATTGCTATTTACATGACAGACTTCGTAAGTGGAAAAACTGAGCGCTTCACTACTAAGAAAATAAAGTTCAACAGAGCATCTACAGCGCGAGAACGAGAGATGAGCCACCTTATTATTTAGGCCTACTTTCACTTTCGCTCTGGTCGATAGGGAAACCTTGTATGCACAGAAATCTATTAGCCTATAAATAATTAATTTTATTTGCTCAGGTATCTGGAAGGGAAAAGATGATCATAACATCCCTAGAACAAGAAACTAAACTGAAATGTGGACAAAACAACTAACCAACACTAATAATTGTTATGGTTCTCAGCATCACACTGTTATTAATTAAGTAGATCAGAGCATGTGCATTCAGTCACATTTCTGGCACAGCAAACCTGTCAAATTTTTATTGACGAAATGAACACTGCTGCAAAATAAAATCTTTTTAGCAATTTTCTTTTTCTTAAAACCTGTTACCTTAAAGTCTGTAGATTAGATTAAGATTGTTTTGTTTTAACTCATTGGTCTGTGTGTATGTATGTGTGTTTTTATATAGAGCGATGTTGATTTCTGGGAGAAGCTCCAGCAGGAGTGGGAGGAAATGGCCAAGAGGGATGCTGAAGCTCACCCCTGGCTCTCAGACTTTGACCAGATGCTCAGCAGCTCTTACGACAAGGTATCTGGACAGTGTACATCTGTGCCCGTTTACAGCACGGAGAACTAGAAAATCTGAGCTCTTTTCCAGCCAGTAGTCTGTGCTTTGTTATGGTGCATGCATGTTAGTTTTGGTCTTTGTTTCTGCTTCGATTTTGAACAAATTTTCATTTGCAGAGCAAGAATATACAAAAATAAAACTATTACATTTTATGCATAAAATTCTTCTCTTTTTTTGCACAGAGAGACTATTTAACTTTTTTTACTATATTGTTCATATTCCAGATGTGTGTATTATTACTGCATTTATTAATTAAAATATTTAAAACATTATTAATAAAAATGTATATTAATTTACAATTATTACAATTTGAATTATTATTAATTTATTTTAATAAAAACCGTGATAATGTGCAATATTATAACAATTTAAAAATAACATTTAAGTCTTTTTGCCATTTAACATACATAGACACTAGATCACATCATAATTTCATTAGGTGTACATTACATCTAAAAATTTGTATATCTATACAGCTGATTCCATTTTTATTTCCATCATATTTGATCGATTAAATCCTAATTTATTGTGGAATTAAAACTTTTAGAGAATGGCCAAAAATTAAAGAGAAAAAATTAAAAGAAATAAATTAAATTGAAGACTAGTTTATGAATATTTGCTTTTAAATATTACTTGCAAATGCCTGCTTTTTTACTTTTGTTAGGGATATCAGTTTGAGGAAGACAACCCCTACCTGTCCCATGAGGATCCGTTTGCAGAAGGGGTGAAGCGGATGGAGGCGGGAGACATTCCTGGAGCTGTGCGCCTTTTCGAGAGCGCCGTTCAGAGACAGCCAGACAACCAACTGGTCAGAGACTCATAATTATAATCCTGACATCCAAAACTCATGGCACATTTTATCTCTGGGGATTCTGACGGTGCTCTGTTTTCTTCTATGTCTTTCTGAAACGCTGACTGTGTGTGTCTGACGATACTGCAGGCCTGGCAATATCTGGGCACCTGCCAGGCGGAGAACGAGCAGGAGTTTGCTGCCATCAGCGCCCTCCGGAGGTAGGAAATATATCTGCGTTTTCACACTACACAGCAGTTAAAATGACGCTAAATATTTCCGAGTGCATCTGCTTTGGTTGGCTAGTGTCAGTTCATAGATTGCAGTCTGTCTCCTCTGTTATGTGTCCAAAATCACAAAACATTTGAAATACTTTTTGTTTTTAGAGACATTGAAAATGCATGTCGAACCATTTATTCGATCATTTTCTTTTCAGCTTAGTCCCTTTATTAATCTGGGGTCGCCACAGGGGAATGAACTGCAAACTTATCCAGCATATGTTTTATGCAGCGGATGCCCTTCCAGCTGCAACCCATCTCTGGGAAACATCCATACACACTCATTCACACTCATACACTACGGACAATTTTAGCCTACCCAGTTCACCTGTACTGCATTTTTGGGGAGATTCTTCTCATCCACCAACAGTGTGCAGCATCCACCTGGATGACGTGACTGCAGCCATATTGCACACCACACACCAGCTTGGTGGAGAGGAGAGTGATGAAGCTAATTATGATATGGGGATGGTTAGGAGGCAATGATGGACTGAGGCCAGTGGGCAAATTTAGCCAGGATGCCGGCGTTAAACCCCTACTCTTATTTGAAGGACATCCTGGGATTTTTAACGACCAGAGAGACAGGACTTTGGTTTAATATCTCATCCAAAAGATGGCTCTCACTGAGCAGTATAGATTCCCCATCAATATACTGGGGCGTTAGGACCCACACAGACTGCAAGTAGAGCCCCCCCTGCTGGTCTCACTAACACCACTTTTGGCAACAACCTTCACATATGGTCTCCCATCTAGGAACTGACCATGTGAGAGTAGTGGTGACCGTTCGTTTGTTCGCCTGTTTGTTTGTTTGTTTGTTTGTTTGTTTGTTTATTCACTCTCTTTATATTTCTATTTATTTTAATTTACTTCTGTGTATTTATTATTGCAAGATTTTTATTGATATCTGGGTTGATCTTTGCAAACTTGTGATTATTAATATTTATTATGTTTTCATTACTGTTTTTTTTTTTTTTTATAATTTGGAGATATACTTTATATATCTCCAAATGATAAAAGGTAATTTTTTTCATAATAACATTTTTGTTGTATGTTTTATTTGTGTGTTTTTATCATAAAAAACAGAAGTTGTAATGTACCACCTAATGAATTACTTAATAAAATGTATTTAAACGCATAAAATTCTCCTTACTAGTACCAATCTGAATATATTCAGATAAACAGTGTGCGCTTTGTTTTTTTTAATGTAAAGTCTCCATTGTTGTTTTCAGATGTATAGAGCTGAAAAAGGACAATCTGACGGCTCTAATGGCTCTTGCTGTGAGCTTTACCAACGAGTCGCTTCACAGACAGGCCTGCGAGACGCTCCGGGACTGGTTGAGGCACAACCCCAAATACAGAATCATCCTGGAGCAGCATGAGCGAGAGAAGCAGAGGGAGGGGGCGAGGGAGAGAGAGAAAGAGAGTGAAAGATTTGGATCCCTTCTGCCAGAGTAAGAGGACTCCTAAAGGCTGTTCAGACACATGCTGGATGTATAAGATGTACATTACATGAGTGCAGTAGACAAAGAGCAACACTACGTTATGATTTTTGCACCACATTGAGAACTGAAGTGTGTACACAGTCCTGTACATTAATATCTTATAAAGATAGTAGTCATAATACATTACCTGACAAATGTCTTGTCGTCAATCCCAGTTGTAAGAGCAACAAATAATAACTTTTAGTTAATCATTTGGAAAAATGGCAGAACTTAGATTTTTCCAGTGAATGTAAAGAAGGTCAAGGTGCTCCAGGATTGGCCAGCCCAGTCACCAGATATATACATTTATTGAGCAAGTCTGAGGTAAGATGGAGGAGGAGGCATTGAAAATGAATCCAAAGAATCTTGATGAACTCTAGGAGTCCTGCAAGAACGCTTTCTTTGCCATTTCAGATGACTTTATTAACAAGTTATTTGAGTCATTGCGGAGATGCAGTCCTCCAAGCTGATAGGGGTCATACACAATATTCATTCTTTTTCCATCCTACCATGATTTTATATTCTACTTTTGTTAAAAGATAAGACTTTTGTCAAAGCAAAGTCAGACCTTACTGTCTTAATTAATAAATTAAAAATCAAGGCTTGATTATATTTTATGTTAAAATAAGTGTAATCTAGAGCCCTTTGCCTTTCAAATAAGCTACTTCTGATACCAAATGATAAACTAAAAATCAAGTTAATTTCTTTTTTTTTTTTGTCAGGTTGTGTAGACAGCAAAGACTTTTATGTTGTTTTACTTTTCGTCAAAATTTTAAAACAATACTAATCTAATGATAAGCAGTACAATAGCTTTCAACATTGATAATAATAATAATAATATTAGTAATAGTAATAATAATAATAAAATGTCTCTTAAGCAGTAAATCAGCACATTAAAATGATGCGATAATACCTAAAAATGATACCGTTTGACCTTTACAGGGATACCATATATTGAGCTAAAAAAATCCTATCTAATGTTTTTAATGTAAAAAATAAAATAATTGAATTATGAAGTTTTTAAATTAAGAGGGGAAAAATTACTTATTGAATTGTGAAGTTGTTATTATGTAATAATGTCATTTTTTTTTATATATGGATCTTGCCATTAAATAGCCATAAGTTGCTGATGTGGCAATAAATAATCAAACATACAAATCAAAAACCTAAGAAAAAATATGCTTTTAAAATTTATTAAAATTAAAATAAAATATTACGATTTATAAATATATTAACACAATGCTGGGTAGGTCAGTGCAATTTGTAGTATGCTCCTAATTACACATTGATTACATTCTTAAAAATGTAGTCAGTGAGAATGTAGAATTATAAGGTTCTATCTGACATTTTTGTCAAAATTGAGTTATTCACATATTCTTATTAAATGAAAACTTATTTACATTATGGCATGTTTTTTTTACACTAGTTGTTTACATTTTAAGACTTTTTATTTAAAAAACAAATGTTACACACATACTGTTTCCTATGGAATACAAAAACTTTAAAGCTCATTATCTCAAAATCATTAAGAATGCAGATAGAACCTTATAGTTCCAAGGTGACGACATAATCTATTAAATGACTCTTTGGAGTAATGTATTCTCATTACTTGTGAATTACCTTTAGATTACTTCTGACCTAACTTGTTAAGAACATAGTCTTAAATGTAATTATTGTTATAAAAACAAACCATGATAAATGATGTTTATTCCATTTTTTTGTTGTCATCATTAAGACATTCACTTAATTTTACAGTATGCCAGGATATGTCAAATTTGGTTAAACGAAAAATTGATGGGTTAATGAAAAGCTAATAATTAAATTATCCAAATGTAAAACTAAACGTCTGTGCTCCAGGGTCACATTTACATTAAAACAAGTCATTATGGATGATCGGAGATTGATTCATGTGAAAGCTAAAAAAAATCTTGGCTATTATAATTTTATTCATTAATAAACATATTTTAAGAATCATAAAATAAGTAATAAACACACAAAATTATGACGTGTCATTTTGGCATTCAGTTCACCTTGTGTGTTACTGTAACCATAATATCTGCTTAACAATAAACAAACTTGAGTAATGAGACAGAAATTTTTTTCGCAAATATGCCACAGGTGTTGTTAAAATACTTTTTTAAACCCTGTTCTTGACTATTCGACACTGTGCGTTGATCAGATGTGTATTCAATTCCAGCAGCCAGTTTTCAACACATTTGTACATCAGCTGGAGACATGCAGAAGTCACTGGACAGGACATTGTAACCAAGCAAGAGATTTACATTTGTCACAATCATAAGTGAGCAGTTCCTCTAAAAAAACATCTAACACAAACACAGGTGTGTCTTTCCATCTGCACGCAGCATTGTGGCCATCTGAAAATACTCTGCAGATCTTAAAATAGTTTTTGAATGACTCTGGATTAATGACCTGATGCTACTTACCATTTCATTACAGACCTGAATGATCCTTATGGCCTTTTATTCCTAATAGCACAAAAAGAGGACTTTAAAGAAGATTGTAAAACAAAAATGAGGACGACATGAAAAAAAGGCCCTTGAAAGTGTTACTGTACAAATGACTGTATTTTGACTTAGGATAGTTTTGAATATCAGAAGGGTTTTGAAACAACATGAGCTTTAATGATGGTGTGTATTTGAATTAATTTATGTGAGTTTGTTTCTCTTAGAGCACTGTTTGGTGAAGTGCAGACGTTGTTTCTGAATGCAGCGGCGGCTGAGCCCTCGCAGGTGGACCCGGAGCTGCAGTGTGGTCTGGGTGTTCTCTTTAATCTGAGTGGAGAGTATGACAAGGCTGTGGACTGTTTCTCTGCCGCACTCTCTGTCACACCACAGGTTTGTTTTCATTTACACCTAAAGAGTGGTTTCACCTAAAAACCATCTACTCACCCATTTACTAAAGTTTCAACTGTATTGTTTAAGTAGTTAATTAGTTTAAACATTTAAAATAATAACTTATTGACTTGAAAATATTCCCTGCTTAATAGATATGTCATTTCTGGGTCTAATTTTAACTTGCTCTTCACAAACCCAGCCCCACTTCTCCATCTCCCACAAGATTTCAGTATCAGCCATGGTGCTCTTCTATCAGTTTGTGCACTCCCCAGGGAAATAGAGAATCATTTCTGGGAAAACAGAAAATAAAGGTACAAGGTCTGCAACATGCAGGGAATTATTTGATATAAGCATAACTCAAAATGAAAAAAAAAAGACTGCAGCTATAGCCTATAAGTCTAGTAATGGGAAGTTTGAATCATTTGAGTATAATTTAAATGTTACAAACTGATTTCCTTACATGTCATTCTCAAAAACGCAAGCAGTGTCATCTTAAACAAATCTATAAAGCATCTTTGAGTTTATTGACCTTATTCTAAAATGCGGAAGTGCGCCTGTTTTCGCGATTGTCTTAGAACTTCCGTTTCAGTCGCCTATGTGAGAAATGACAAGGAATAATAAACGGCAAAAAAAATGTCAAACTACTTGGTCTACAAACAAATGTTTGCATGACTATACAGACCAAGTAGAATAATATAACAAGGACATATCAGTTTGCAACATCAAACAGCGAAACAAGCAGTTTTTAATGTCTAAAAATGAATGAAAGTGAATGAGATCGGAAGTCTCCTGCAAAAAGATTCAAATGGCAGCGCCCGCTCGTCGGCAGAATAAGGTCAATAAGAGACAGGAAAGATTAATTCATTGTATCTGGGCCTCCAGTCTATGTGGTTTAAGATAGCTCATCTTACTGTTCATCTTCTCTGTCCTTGGATAGTTTGCTGGTTATTGTAAAAAAAAATTAAGTGATGTATTGATGTTTTTTTTATTAAAAGCCTAATAAATCATAGATTCATCATGTTGTTTGCAACAGTTTTGCTCAACTCTGCACACTAAGAAAGAAATGCCCAGCCTGAACACATGGAGCAGTTGCTTTTTTCCAGATATTTATTGGGTCCATTTGGACAAAGCATGTTTATTTATTGAAAAATTTAGGCCTGAGGTCACTAAGGCCCCGTTTACACTGCTAGTTAAATGTGACCCTATTCCGATTTTTTGCTCATATGTGACACAGATCGGATCTGTTCTATGACCGTGTAAACACGAAAAAACGCATGCATTCGGATATTAAGAGAGCGGTTTCAGGCCTCCTTCATATGTGGAAATAAATCAGATATAGATCGGATATGTGACAATGCTACTGTCATGTAAACAGGCAGATCGGATTTATTGAGGCATTTCGTTCTGTTCATCATTAAACTTGCGACAATGTGGTGCTTCCCCACAGTTTAATGACAGAAGGAAGAGCGTGTGTGGAGATGCCGACGCGGTAAACAACATCAGAGGAAACACAGAGGAGGAAAGTGGTCAGTCGCCACAATTTGCTCCCTAAAGACTTGAGATCTCTCTCGTGCGATAATGGCCCTTTCCCAGATCTTCCTCAAAAGCATTTTGAAGTTGGGCGAACTTCGTGTTGTAACTTTTTGCTTTTTGTGGCTATTAATACATGCAGGCTTCACATAGAATAACTTTATTCTCTCCAACACCAGTACGCACACAGGAAAAGGCTACATCTGCAACTATACACACACACACACACACCAGGGCCATACTATTACATAAACTGCTTGGGGGTAAATCTGGACTAAACCATTCACTGCTTTTACTACAACTTTGCATATTTCGCAGAGCTAAAAACAAGACCATTTTTTCCATCGTCCATTCGGCACCTCTTGCTTTGACTCGGCATCGGCAAGTGTTATCTGGGCCGAGTATGGCCCGCAGCTCGCTCGCGCACATGCGTTTGTGATACGGCTGTAAAGCACTGGCCTGATTCCTGGTAACCACTGTAGCGAGGCAGAGGGAAAACACATACACAGTTGCGTTGGTTACAAACAAGTCCCCTGAGGGTGCTTTATTTCAAATTGAAATAGTGTAAATATGGTGCTCTTCTTGGTGTTGGTGCTCGGGTGCTCCGGGGAGAAGGTGAAGGATAGTGAGAGTTCGGGTGCTGGATCGTTCACGAGCTGGAGTCCGATGTGGGAGAGACAGAGAGACACAAGCGTTAGTGCAGGGAGTCATGTGTGAATGAAGCTCGTTTTCCTTGTGTGTGGGGCTGGCTTTTATGTCTCTCCGGCTGCTGAGTTCCAGCTGCAAGCGATCCGGTGCTGATGAGGTGCCAGCTGGGGTGAATCTTAGACCAGGGCGACATGGCATCGGTATACTCGCTACACCACATATGGCCCATGTCTGTCTGTAGAGTCGGGGCTGCTTCTGACAACCGATTAAATTCTTATTTTATCTAGTAATTTGTTTGCTCCACGTTTAATAATAATTTGAGAAAATATCCATGGTACGACAGCAACAAAATAAAAATAATATTTTGTGTGGTTGGTCTCAATGTTTAGACGCAAACAATACAATATTATTTATAAATGGATTATACATATCATCATGGCACAGATGCTAGAACCCTCCTTTATGCATGCGCGACATCGTAAAATGTATGGCAAGTGTAAACGCATGAATTGGATATGGATCACAATTAAAACAATGTGTAAACATACAGGCAAACAAATCAGATATAGGCAACAAATTGGAATTGGGCATCATAGTGACTGTGTAAACGGGCCTAACATTAAACCCAACATGGTCCAACAATAAGGTGTATACGTGAAAACCTCTGGTTCAGTCTTTACAATATTTTCATCTGTAGTCATTTGTCAAATTGTGCAATTTTAATTCCCTCGCTTGCCATATTTAAAGGGATAGTTTACCTAAAAATGACAATTGTCATTATACACTCTACTTCCACTTGTTCCAATCTTGTTTCTTCTGTTGAACACAAAAGTGATGAAACTGATGGTCATTGACTTTCATTGTATTAGTTTTTTCTATTATAGGTGACAAAGGTTATTAACATTATTCAAAATATCTTCTTTTTCAAGAGTTTTTTTGGATGAACTGTCCCTTCCAACATTGAGAAGATCCAAACATTCTAACATCCAAAAACAAGGGCATAACCAAACAATGGTTTGTTTTGTATTGTTTTGATATCAGAAAAAAATTGTTCCAAAATTGAAATAAAACAGCGGACAATCCATTGCATAATTTCACCTAAGACCATCAATACTATTGTCTCACTGTGTTTGAATACTCTGAACAGAAGAGTTTCTGTGCTCTTATTGGTCAACGTCACACTGATATCATCTCATGGACAACAAAAATGAAGTGTCTGTTTCAGTTGGGCAGTGTGTGTAGAAGATAAAACAACCCCAGCAGGTCTCAGAATAGAAAAAAACAGCACCTCACTCTGCAGCAAATAAAGTGTGCACTAATTAGGCTGAAATCATTGAGTCTTTAAAATATTTAAAGCCGTAAATGAGAGAATTGCAGTGGAGTGGATATAATTAAAATATGTATATGCATACATATTATGTTCTACACATTTATACATTATTCATCAGTATTTGGTTCACGTTCTCTCTACTCTGTGTGAAGGATTATCTGCTGTGGAATAAACTGGGAGCGACTCTAGCTAACGGGAACCGCTCGGAGGAGGCGGTCGCTGCTTATAGACGTGCGCTGGAGTTACAGCCTGGATTTGTACGCAGCCGATACAACCTGGGCATCAGCTGTGTCAACCTGGGGGCACACAGGTCAGTACAAAAAGACTTCATAAGGCCCATCCGCCAATTTTCCCGCACACAGTTATGCTTTATAAGAGTCATGGAAGTAACTTCTGTTGAACTGTAAACAATCTGTTAAATATGCTTTTTAAATATGGTGGTGAATTCTTTTCACAGTTCATCCATTAGAAATATTAAAAAGTAGTTTATTGTCAGCGCAATAGCCTAGTGGTTAGCGCTTCGACATATGGTGCAGTAGGACGTCCCGTGTTCGAATCCTGGCTCGAGGACATTTCCCTCCGCTACCCCCTTAACTCTCTCTCTCTTTCCAACTTCGCTTCCTGTCTAAATACTGTCCTAGCTAATAAAGGCAAAAAGGCTTTACGCTTGTGTGTGAGTGCAAAACGCGCCAAAGCCCGAAACTAAAAGCGATATGTGACTTTTAAGGGGCTGTTTCATTTGGATTTATTAATCATTCTTACTGTTCAGTGATCGCAAACTGCCGTAGTTTATTAAAGACGAGAACTCCTCACAGCACGACAGCTGCGCACCTTCAGCAGACCTCCTCATTCTTGCAGCACGAGAACTTAATGATTGTTTATGAGCGCCAAAAGTGGCGGATCTGTTCGGCGAAATATCTGACTGCGTGTCACCGCATCCCTAAGGACTGTTTGGCGAAATATTTGACTGCATATCACTGCGTAACAAACGACTGAAACGATATAACTAGAGTAATCTCCACTGTGCTACTGGGTGAGAGTGTATGGCAAGCCGTTTTAGCATTTAAACCTTGTTCTGACTATCCATAAATATATTTAGAGATATAATTATATTTTAAATAGTTATAATTATAATTCGACTAGTCAGATTGGAGATATCTGCAAATATATTATGACTGACTAGTCATATTCCTCCATTGACTTCCATTGAAAAATATTTGCAGATATCTCTAAATGAGTTTTGACTAGTCAAAAATCCAATTCAAGATATCTACAACTATAATTCGACTATTAGTAAATTAATTAGAGATATCTTTAAATATATTTGTAAATATCTCTAAATATGATGAATTAAAGATATCCACAAATGTATTATGACTAGTAAAAACTCAGAGATATCTCTAATTACAATTGTTACTAGTCAAAATTCATTTGGAGATATCTCTAATCACAATTGTGACTAAAACTTATTTAGAGATATCTGCAAATATTTTTCAATGGAGGAATATGACTAGTCATAATATATTTGCAGATATCTCCAATCTGATTTCGTACTAGTACAATTGTAATTGCAGATATCTCTAATTGTCATTCTGAGTAGTGGAATTATAATTATGACTAGTCAAAATATAATTAGAGATATCTCTAAATATATTTATGGAGTCAGAACAAAGATTTAAATGCTAAAAAGGCTTGCCATAGAGAGCGCTTCACTGAACAGAGCAGCAGCGATGACGTAAGCGTGCCGAGGCCTGATATGGTGTGAGCGCGGGCCGTCGGGGGAGACGGGAGGGGGGAGAAGCGTGCTTTGGCCCGGTTCGAGGCAACTGTACCTAGTGTGAGTACGGCCTTATTTTGAGGAGACTGAATAACCCCAAACACTTTAAACGAGTTTTTCTACTGCACTATTATGAGAGTACATTGAATATTACTGTACTATTAAATTTAATTTATAAAACAATGGTTCAACATTAAAACAAACAAGAAGGTTAAATTGGAATCTCTGTTAAAAGCATTGCCCAACCCTTCCCAATCATTTTCCCTCTGACGGGCCAAATCAAACTTTCGCCTGGTGCCGCATCATGCACCTCCGCTGACTGCGCGCGCACCTTGCGACACAGACGAGGCTTTTATACTTGCCGCGTTCGCCGTTGTTATATTCTTTAAAACGACAGGGGGCGGTCAAAAGAAACCCACCGTAGAATCAGACGGATAAACAGAGAGTAGGAAGTTTCTGGAAGTACGTCATATCATAATGTTGTTCAATAATTTTAAACTAATTATTTTTTATTGTTTTTTTATTCATTATGTGAATGATTATAAGCATTTTTATAACCATTCAAGATTTTTTAATCAAACTTTGATGCATCACTTGCTTTTGTTCATATCTCGGACAGTTTTACTACTAAGTTCTTTATAATATTAATCACAAGAAAACATGAGTTGCTCTACAAATATATTTTATTATGGCAAGAATAAAAGCAAAAAAATACACTTACTAAAAAAATACTGATGTTTTTTTTTTTTTTTTTTTTAGGTTAAACCCGCTCCACAAACATATATCAATGTAAAAGCTATGACTGCTGGAAAAACATATTCTGTAATTGTGTACCTGGTCTCCACTTTTGCCATGGCCTCTTTTTGCATATGCAAACTTATCCTTCAGGTTTTCCCAAACTTTTTAACAAAAAATTTCGTCCTTTCCCACCGCTCTTGCAATTTATGGCAAACAATTATAGGTCATCACTTGCCTTTGTTCATTTCTCAGACAGTTATACCTATTACAATTTATTAAAATTTCATTGACAACAGAACATGTGTTGCTCTACAAATACAGTTGAAGTCAGAATTATTAGCCCCCTTCAAAAAAATTTTCTTCTTTTTTAAATATTTCCCAAATTATGTTTATCAGAGCAAGGAAATTTTCACAGTATGTCTGATAATATTTTTTCTTCTGGAGAAAGTTTTATTTGTTTTATTTCAGCTGGAATAAAAGCCGTTTATAATTTTTTAACACCATTTTGGGGACAAAATTATTAGCCTCTTTAAGCTATATTTTTTCTCGATAATCTATAGAACAAACTTTTGTTATACAAAAACTTGCCTAATTATCCTAACCTGCCTGGTTATCCTAATTAACCTATTTAAGCCTTTAAATGTCACTTTAAGCTGTACAGAAGTGTCTTGAAAAATATGTAGTCAAATATTATTAACTGTCATCATGGCAAAGATAAAATAAATTGGTTAATCGAAATGAGTTATTAAAACTATTATATTTAGAAATGTGCTGAAAAAATCTTCACTCCATTAAACAGAAATTGGGGGAAAAATAAACAAGCGGTCTAATAATTCAGGGGGGCTAATAATTCTGACTTCAACTGTATATGTTTTATTATCGCTAAAATAAAAGCAAAAAAAGTACACTTACTAAAAAATGCAGATGGTTTTTTAGGTTTAACCCGCTCCACAATTCACACATTACTGTCTGGCTAGTTTCTGTCCTATACTTATGCTAAAAATGCAACGTTGGTCCAACATTCCTGACCATTATCAACAATGAAGCCAAGAGAAACAGGGCATCAGTATATTGTTTTCCTTTCTAGCTATCAAAAATAATTTTGTGACTTCATTACAATTTTGTAACTTTTAAATTATTTTAAATACAAAATTAAACAAAACACATCAGTGTAAAACCTATGACTGGTGCAAAAACATATTCTGTGATTGTGTACCTGGTCTCCACTTTTGCCATGGCCTCTTGGTTTTAATAAACTTATCCTTCAGGTTTTTCCAAACCTTTTAACAAAAACTTTCTACTTTTCCACTGCTGTTGTAATTTCTAGCCAAGAATTATTGATCATCTAGTAATCTCTCTGATCACGGGTCATGAGATGTGTGTACAGTCGTACTGTTTCAGATAAAAATCTCTTCAAAGTGTTTCATATTCAACTCATATCAGTTGCGGCGCCGTGCGCACTGTTCGCTCGAGTCTCATAAAATGCTGCATGCACCGCCAGCCAAAATCATGCCGCGCACACCCAAAGCGAACCTCCGCAAACTCCACAATGATGTCACATTCGCCGTGCGCACTCAATCGAACAAGAGGATGCGTCGAGTATAAACCAGGCATAAGGGCAAATTTTGGCCTGCACAACTTTGGGCATCAGTTCTAGATGAACACAATTCAGCGAACTCAAAAGAGATTTGACCACAGATGTGCTTGTGATGTTCAGGCCACATTTAAAAAACAATTGTTACGTTATTTTAATGAAGAATAAATAAAAAAAAGTTCAACGTACCTGTCACAGTTTTAAAAAAAATTTTAGATTCTTTGTGGCACAACCTTATTTTCTGAAGTGATTTGTTTGTTCTTTTGAATAAATGTTCACCAAGCTGGAAGTTCTACGCTTAATTATGAGCACAGCAGAAACTTGGACCTACAAAGCACTTCAATAAATGTGATCTCATGTTTGTCAGGGAGGCAGTGGAGCACTTCCTGGAGGCGCTTTCTCTGCAGCGACAGGCTGCAGGTGATGGAGAGGCCGGTGCTGGACGAGGGCCTGGTGCTGCAGCCACCATCATGTCGGACAACATCTGGTCCACACTACGCATGGCACTGAGCATGATGGGAGAAAGCTCACTCTATTCCGCCGCCGACAGGCGAGATTTGGACACACTGCTGACACACTTCTCCCACAGAGAAGGAGAGGCGGAATGAAGGACGATATGGTGCGGGTGTGGAGACGCCTGTTTGGGAGAGGAAACCAGAAGACTGAGGTGTACATTTCAACAAGAGGGGCTTGACTTTTAGAGGCGCTACAGTAGACGGAGAACAAACAGCCATTTAGCTCCAGCACTGAAGAATAAACTGATAAACTGCCCTTGAGGGAAAACCTATGGTACAGTTTAACTACACCACAATATTGCTGCATTTCTGTCACAAGTTTACGCTTACCGTTGTAATTTTTGCATTAATCTTGAAGATTACGGTTCTTTCCATTGATCAGATTTACAGCGATATTTCTCATATAGGGAAAATATGATCCACGCACTGTGAGCTCAAATGATACTTGCTTCTGTTTGAAACAGAGACGAAGGATGTGGAGATATAATTGTTCTATATCACTACGAGCCCCGTGTAATCCGCAAGTTATGTTGGCTGAGAGGAGGAAGAGTTGTGAGACTAATAGACGTGTCTGTAAGCACTCTTTATTATCACATATTTGCTGTAAATTAATTTGCTTAATTGTAAATTCTACTTGCCATATTGTGTAGTGTACCATAATTATTAATGTTTTGCATATAGCCAATTCAAGTTGCTCTGATATATGTAATTCAAGCAATAAAGCTTTGACAAAAATTCTTGGTAACCTGAGATAAAATAATGGTGGTATATATATTAGGGTTGGGCATCTAAGCTATAATGCCGATCCGATACGCATCTCAATACAAAGAATACGATCCGATATATTAGCGATACATTTGTGACATATTGCGATGCAACACGATACGATTCACACCCATATCACGATACAATGCGATAATTCAGCACTAACTAATTAGATCAAGTTTATGAGATGATGTAAGAAAGGATGCTGTGCCATTGAATGAGTTTGATTATTTATTAACAAAGCAAAACCAAGACTTTTTTTACAAACTGGCTTTTCTCTCAGAGCCAGAGTGTCAGTTTACAGTAGAGGGCCATTTTAGAACCTATGGCACATATTATTTAAGGATTTTCAAGATAAACAGAATGTATAAGTGCAATATATATTATAAATGTATATATTTGCACTCTTTCAACATAAAGGTTTACCATTGCACAACAAGAATTGTAATTTAACTTTTCAAATATGAAAACAAGTTTTACAAAGATATATTTTGCCACTGAATATTCAAAACTTAAGGTCGTGAACTAGCAGTGTTATGCTGCTTTGAAACATCACTGTCACTGTAAACAACAGGCTAATAAAAATATAAATAAATAAAAATTAACAGGAGGAGGTGTTTAAAACCTTCGTTCTCCATGACACTAGGCTGAAAATCTTTGCAGATGAACAATGCAATAGCATTCGTTATTGCCGTAGAGTGAGCAGAACTGTTGCGCATGGAGAAAACTTTCAATGCTTTTCTCACCACTTTTGGAGCTGGTAGCTACAGTTGAAGCAGAGCAGGAAGCCTAAGATGCAGGAACACTGGAAGATGCCTCCACAACAAGACCGAGACGCCGCTTCAAGTGAGATATCAGATTAGTCGTACTGCCCGTGTATTTTACAGATGCGCGGCACATTTTGCAAATTGCATCTGTCCTGTCAATTATGCGCCAAAATCAGGTTGACAACACTTGTTAATAAATAAAAAATACATTCTATATTAAAAATATAAGTTGTATCTTGGAAAAACCGATGCATCTCGCAAAAATCGATGCATCTCGATTTGCTTTCAAAATTTCATTCATCCTCTGCTGCTCTACCGATGCACTCGCATCGTCCACGCGCATGACCGTGTATCGATAGATATTGGTTAATCTTCCCATCCCTTATATATATATATATATATATATATATATATATATATATATATATATATGTGTGTATATATATATATATATATATATATATATATATGTGTGTGTGTGTGTATATATATATATATAGATATATACACATACATATATACTTATGCAGTGATTTTCCCAGAAATGGGTTGCGGCTGAAAGGGCATCTGCTGCGTAAAAACTTGCTGGATAAGTTGGCGGTTCATTCCGCTGTGGCGACCCCGGATTAATAAAGGGACTAAGCCGACTAGAAAATTAATGAATGAATGAATAAACAGTGCTCAGCATATATCAGTACACCCCTCACAAATGTATCTTTTGAATGAATATGTTCTATAGCAGTGTTTCTCAATTGTTGGGTCGCGACCCAAAAGTGGGTTGCGGAAACATTTTCAGTCGCGGAGTGTGTGGTAAAAAAACAAGAACAAAACTTTCATTTTTAACTTTTGACTTTTATACGACCATGAAAATGTATGGTATGGATTTACATATATTGACGACAAAAAAGACTTAAAGCCTCAGTGTGTCCTTAGTAGCGAGGTGCTCTCACAAGAGAGCACAAAACCTTCTAGATTAAAACGACATTTAGAAACCAGAAAACATGTTTTATTAACAGTTCAGTTTAGTTCATGGTAACTGAACCTATCCTTATCCTAACCACTGTTTACAGTATTTGCCGTTTTTACTTTGTAATATTTCTATAATTTGATACATTTTGTTAAATGACAGCAATAAAATATCGTTTATTTGTAAGTCTTGGCGATTTTCTTATGATTTATCTGTCACTACTTGTGTATGTTAACAAATAAATACTAATTAATTGTAATTCCTAAAATTGTATTATAGTTCCTAAAAATTTGGGTCGCGGCTTGATGACCATGTAAAAATGTGGGTCCCATGGCCAATCCAGTTGAGAACCACTGATTTATAGTAAGCTTTACAATATTATGTTTGTGCATTTACATTAGATCACTCAGTACTGAAGCCAAATCTGGAGCTAGTCTAATGAAATAGCTTGCGATAACAGTCACAAAATTCGTAGCCAAATGTATATGTTGTTGGGGAAGCATATGAAATTTACATTTAATAAAAGATAAATGTTTTATTGAAATTTAATCATTTTTCTGCATATTTCACTTGAATTTAAGTGTATAAACATGTCTATTTGTAAAGATGTTCTCTGACTATTATTTTAATCAATATATAGATTTAATAAATCTGTTTTGTTCAAATGCACCAAAACATATTACCTATATTCACTGATAGAGGTAAAGTTGGTTTTATATTTGCACATTTGTTCATTTAGAAGTCTTAATATTGTTTACCATGTTGCTTTGAATATTCAATCAAAATAAGCATGCAAGTGTGACTTGAAAACAACATTAACACTGTTTATTTGACTGTGAAAAATGTTGTACTTTGATAGTCATTGGCTGCTAATATGATTTCGCTATGTAGAGTTTGCAAATATAACTTTTATGAAATGATATTATTAGTGGGAAAGTCTGAATGTGCGAATATAAAAACAACTATACCTCTATTATTCACTGAAACATTTCTGAGAGTCATTTTCAAAATGGGGTGTACTCATTTATGCTGAGCACTTATTTTTATTTCATTTTTATTTTGCAATTTATTTTCTTTTTTCTTTGCGCTTTCACAATAAAAGATTTTTTAAAAGGTGTTAAAGTAGAAACTTTTATATCCATGACTTTTTAGCATTAAGTGTCGTGTTTGGTGCAAAAACAAATTCCTGAACATCTTGAAATTAAGATGCATTAATTTGAAATGCAAAATGAACAAATTAAAGAATTTAAAAAAGTTGCTTATAATTGACTCACCCATATCATTTAAGATCTTCATTCCTAAATAATTCTTTAAGCTTTGTTTTCTAAGAAAGTGAACAAATAATTAAAAAATTGTGCTTAAAACAAGAACAAATATCGGTCAGTTGGGTATGAAAATTACTGTTTTCATTAGATTTACTTGAATTTCTCCAATGAAATATATTTTATGTTTGATGTTAAACTTGCTTCATTTTGATACATTTTACCAACAAACAAGACTTTTTTAAATTGTACCTACCATTTTACAAGTAAATATCTTGATTTAACAATCTGAAGACCTTTGCATTGAAAAACAAGAACAAAAATGTGTTATATAAACATTATTTCCATTGTTATTTGTTTGGCAGCAGAGTTCATCAATCTTTATCTACTCGTTTTGTAAAACTATGAAATGCGAAACGTTATATTTTGAAACTTTAAAATGTTGCTAATATTTATGTTCCTGAATATGTAATTTAGAAACGTATATAGTTAGTAAAGTTTGAAGTGTTCTAACTGTGCATTCATAAAATAGATATCTGTTGTTTGAGGGATTCACTAACGAATATCCTTATGCGATTGTGTACAGTTTGAATATAATCAAGAATATTAAAGCGTGACGTCAACAGTCAACACGCGCCTGTATTTCAAATGGCTTAGACACGCCCAAGAAAGTGCATCCACTGTCTTAGCCAATCAGAAACGCTAAGGCGGAAACTCCCGAGTTCGCCTATTGGTCTGTTCAAAAATCGCCGCAAACACGGAACGACCCATTTAAATGCTCCTTATTGTGCAGTCACACGCGCAGAGTTTGAACTGGAAGACGACACAAGGCGTTTCTTTGTTGATTTCTCATTTTTATTTGTTTATATTAAAACGTGAAAGAAACGCCGTCTGATTTGGAGTGAAAGAGAAAAGCATACAGTGGACTGCGGGAAAACATCGAGCATTAAGGTGAGTTTGAGTTTGTTTATTGAACACAGGACTGCAACGTTATTGTTTTAAAACGCTAACGTTACATTTAAAGATACGTTTCGTGGGTTATTTTATGAGAATGTTTTGCCATGGTTGTAAATTTTACGACAAGCGACCTACACGTTGTTCAGGTTAACTTCTTATGCAAGTTATGTTTTAATATGCCATACCGTTTTTCAGCAGCAAACAGAAACATGGGTGCCAGTGAAAGCAAAATGACCGTGGCATCAACACCAAAGGTAACGTTAGACCCGAGTCAGCGACCCAAAGCAGCGCGTGTGGCGAAACTTGCAGACCCACGTTCACCGTCCTGTGCCATTGACCGCACACCTATACAGGTACCAAAACACTCCTATGTTAATAGTTCCTCTTTTATAGCTGATTTTAATCTCAATAAATTGCTTGCGGGATGTGTTGTAGTTGCTGTTTATATCAGTTTTGTGTGTGTAAACCACAGTAGATCTAAGAATTGGCTTGATTGTGTTTTCCTGTAGGTGGGCGTTACTTACTCTCCTCTCCCTGTGGTGGAGTCAGTTGGGCCTGTGTTTGTTGACCCTCGCTCACCAACCCCGGGCATCACCCGAACGCCAATGAAGGGTACATGTTCTTCATTGTTATGAGCATTACAATGAAACATTTTGAGCATTCTTCGTTTAAAAAGTAAGCTTGTTGTGTGCTCAAGCTGAAAGCTAATTATTGTTCACAAGTTGAGTCGGTACGAGTTGAGAAATAATTGTTTTAAAGACATTTACTTGGATTTGACAGTTTTTTTGTTTTGTTTTTTACTTTTCGATCACTAAGTTAAGCTTTAAAAAAAAGCCTGATGAGGATAACATGATATGATGAGGGTATTTAATAATAAATGCATTCAGAAAGTAATAAGGTTGAAAAAATGAACTCTTTTAGCTAAAACTCTTGTCTGTTTTACAGTGAGCGTCACGTCTCTCGCTCGAAGACTGAGCACGTTCTTCCTCAGTGACATCAAGTCTGGCGACTCTCCCG